AAAAATCATGGCTTACACTTACAAAACTTAGCTACTTTTTATGGGTCACCAAGTGTTGKATTAAATGTTAAAAAATGCCACATTTTCATTATTTAGCTCATTTCATGATTGTCCTAATTTAAAATTTTGCATGAACCTTTTATTGTTATTTAGCTCACTGTTCTTAAATTTAGACTATTTTTTTACTATTTGAAACTTAAATTATATGTAAATAATAAATGCTAAATCTCAACATGTAAATCTAAATCTAAAAGTTAAATCTTAAATGTTGTAGTCACAGTAAATGTTGAAGTTTAAGTATGAAGTTGTTTAAGTATTTCGGAATGGAATGCAGCCTTTGCTCTTGGTGCTCTGCTCTTGTTGTGATCTCATCATCCTGAGACAGTAGCAACCGCTAACACAGCTAATGCTTCCCTACAATATATCAAGCTTGCAGTTGCAGCTGGTGTCCTAACTTCACTTTAAACTGCCGGACCACAGGACCATCCATATTGTTTTCAACGAAAACATTTTGGCTTTAGATTTTATAAACCATCGTCACCAGCATTAGCAGTGGTTAGTGTTGACATTTGTCACAGAATGATGACATCATCCTGGTTAGCTAAAACTTTCCTCTGCTAATGCTGCTGAACTTGGATTAAAATCTAAATTTAGCTCATATTTTAAGTTTAGTTTGGACTTGCAACGATACGTCTTCACTCAGCAGGGCAGGTTAACAACCGCTCATACTGGGGAAGAGGCTGCTATTTTGAGTTACATGCACGTCAGTCCACATCACTGTGGTGTTTAGCTCAGAAAGATCTAATATCCTGGACCTTTATCAGAGGACAGAAAGAGATTCCAGCTTTTTTTTTTTTTTTTTTAGTTTAAGAAAATAAAGGACCTCTCTAACCCTGTTTGGATATGTAAGTGAAACTGTGGAGTTCCAGTCTGGAAGTATTCCAGCAGAGTTTTGTGTGACATTAAGTCCTTATTTAGCTGCAGAGAAAGCAAGTAGATCACACCCATAGCAATGCAGTTAAAATCATTAGGAGCAATATTCTCTCCGGTTTAAGCAGATAATGTCAATATAATTTTAAACAGAGAATCTCCACAGTTGGACACAGCAGGTTTAGCTGCAGCTATTCTGCTTTTTATGAGCTCACGTGCGGCCCAGAATTAGTGGTGGCATCAATGTACTAAAATCAGAAACTGTGTTTATGCCCCAATTACACTCTGCTTCTTCTGATTGTTGCTGACGTGAAGAAATTATAAATATTATAAATCCACTGTCAAATGCAGGGCAGTGACCAATATAGCCTCAAAACTAAATAAGTGAAAACTGAGAATGAATCATTAAAAAAAGTTTCAAATTCTATTTTGAATTGTCAAAATAGTTCAAAAACACAGAGGACAAAACACAACTCAGCAAGCAAAAGTAAATAAGTCATTTGCATTATTTATTAAAAAACTTTTGTGGGGTAAATTTATTTTTCTCGGTGGGCCAACGTGGGAGCAGGTCAAACAAAAAATCAGGGGCTCTAATATCAAACCCTGTGGAACCCCAAAAGACCAAGGTGCAGTGTAGAATTCAGACCCAGCTATATTTACATGGTTCTGTCTTCCAAATATGACCTCAACCGTTTTAGCTCTGTATTACAAATACTCACATGTGCTTTAAATGATACATTAAAATATTATGGTCTATTGTATCATAAGCAGTGATTAGATCAAATATGACAAATAATAAAATATAATACAATCACATTACCAAAGCGCTCCCACAAAACATAGCCTACTCTTTGTCATTCATAATAATAATAATAATAATAATAATAATAATAATAATAATAATACAGGTGTAAAGGTATAAACACTATAAATCACAGTTTGTCTCTTGGATCATAACTTTGATAAGAGGAAGGCTCAGAGGTGGCAGACAAGGTAAGATTTGTAGGCTACAAATTTCACTATAAAATTAAAATTAAAACATCATTTCAAATGAATTTTAAAATGTGCCATGTTTCAAACTATAAGCTTGATAAATAAAAAARGTGAAAGGAATTTCTTTTTGTTTAGAAAATGATATAAAAACAACTAAGGCCTGATACAAAACAAAAAAACATTGAACATTGGATTGAAAAGCATCTGCCAACATGAAACTCCAAAATAAATAAATGGTTAAACATGTGTCAGTGTCTCTTTCCTGTCCTGTCTACGCCCAGTTCTGGTTCTGCTAGAGGTTTCTTCCACTTTAAAAGGAGTTGAACCTGCTGCTCAGATTTGGAGATTGTGACAAAAAAAGATTTGATGCAACTTAATAATTAAGACCCCTTGAAAACTGGCAAGAATTTACATTTTTCACTGTTGAATCATAAAAAGGTTCTAAGTAGAGTTTCAAAATGCAAAAAGAAGAAATGGAAATGAGACCAAAAAAAGAGTAAGCATTTTATTGCAAACAACAATTAAGCTGAAATAGGCTGTTCATCAGCTGATCAAATGTTTAAGACCACAGCATTTAAAAAGACAAATCTTCGCAAAATTCTGAATTCAGTGTCATTTTCTGTCAGGTATCCACAGTGTAATGACCTCCTGATGACAAAGGCAAAAAGGCTTTTTCTCTTTGAACGTGGTCGGATTGTTTAGCTGCATAAGCAAGGCCTCTCACAGTGTACCATTGCTGCTGAGGTTGGACTCACTAAGACAGTCATTTTAAAAGATCCTGAAGGTTGAGGAACAACAAAGTCAAGTGTAGAGCCAAAAAATTTCACCCGGCCCTGAAATGGAAAATCCAATTGGCTGTCCATCAAGACACGGGATGATCCTCAGCCCAAATGAAGCTTGTCACTGGTGCCAACCACGGTCCCGTAACCATCAGACAGCRTCTGTGATAAAAGGGTTTTACAAACAGAAAACTTATTTAAAGGCCTCGTCTCCTTCACTGACACAAAATTCAGTTTGGAGTTTGCACAAGAGCACCTGTAGGGGTTTTGGGTATATTCTAAAATGGATAATTTGTGAATTATTTAAATGAGCAAATTATCTGACCTCGATGCACCACGTTCTTAATTTGGTCAAGGATTATCCCAGGAAAGAGACGAAAACCTGTAACTTTATTGTAATCAGTCTCACAATAAATGCACACAAAATCGTTTGATGAGTTCTTTGTCTTATCAGAACCAATAATACTTTATCAAGACACAAAAGTGACATTAGCTTATGTTGGCACGTTCTCCAC